TTCAAGGTCCACCAGAATCCATAGACTAAGCAATTCTCAGGGCTTACTCTGGTAGGCGTTTCCCACAGCATCCACCTGGGAGCAAACTCCAACCCGAATAGGGCTCTCAGTCCCTCTTGTTCAAGTTGTTCCTTCTTCAGCGTTTTATGATGCCAGTGCATCTGCTCCTTATGCTGGTTAAGGATTGCTATGGGACTCCAGCTTCCAGCTAAGGCTGTCTCCTACAAGAGACACCTTCACCCTAGGCTGCCTTTTTGCTTTGACAATACTATAGTGATTAAAACCATTTGAGAGGTTCAGGTTTTGATCTTTCTGCCTAACTAAACCTTGATCCGCCCTACCTTGGGCGAGTGCTACAACTACCCAAGTACTGGAAAAGGAGGGGGCTGGTTAATGCTTTTTATTATTATTTATTAGATGCTGGGGCCGTAGGTCATTTCTTCAGGATGTAGAATACAACTCAATTCCTTCCTCTGCTGAGAATGGGGATCCTGGTCCTGTCCCTCCAAAGCTGCTTTTACTGCTCTATCGATTGTTCCTTTCAACATTAAGAAGTTCTCAGGACTCTGAATCGTGCTTGTTTTGCTGTCTAATGCGCCTCCTGTGAACTTTGTAGCTGGAAAAGCTTCTGGTGGAGTATCTTATAAGAACAATGCACATGAATTGGCTGTTTCTAGACCATTAAAGCCGATGGTTTTCACCTACTGGGATTGCTAATTTTCCACCTGCTGAAATCAGTGGAAGCTTTTGGCTCTAATCTGGAAGTTTGCCAGTTAGTATATGTCTCCCTAACTCTACTCACCTTTCTCAGACGGTACCAGAGATGGTACCATGGCTCTTGTCGAACAAGTCAGGTACTTTTTATGATTGCAAAGGGTTTAACACAGTGCTGAGTAGCTTCTAGGGGTAAGGATTGCTTTCACATACGCCCTCAGGCTTGTTTTTCATCACAGCAGGTTAAGTTGGTGGCATCTAGCATCTAGCTTGTGGCTTCCTCACACAGTAGAAGTAATTATTACAAACAACTGCTTAGGTCAGGTCACAACTAAATGCCTACCCTGAAAACATCTCATACAGGTGGCATCCCAAAACCAGTCTTGACTGTGAACAGTCAGTCAGGGCATCATAGCTTGTGATGTGTCCTCTTTTTTTCCCCTTCAGGGCGGGAACAGTCAAGAGTTGCACTCATCTCACCCGACTATGGCAGATGTACATCTTACAGGGGATTACAGTTCAGCCCAATCAAGAGAATCACTGGAGTGGTATCTTTCAGGGTGGTTCTCTCAAGAAAATCTGAGAATGGCTTGGTGAACGTAACAAAAGACAGAATTTGTCCTGACAATCTCCTAGGGCAAAAACATGAAATAGATAAGGACAATGCTCATGAGAAGTACACACAACACCTTAAAAGTTCTTTCAAAGAGAACACCTTTTATTATTTTTTATATGTGTTAAATCAAAGGACCAACTCTGGAACTGGGTCAAAATTAGTATGAAATCTAAAACAATCACAGCTTGTGATTTCTCTGTATATGTAATCACTCTGCTACAGTGCACATGACATAATCTGAAACATTACCCATTTATTGGAGGGGAAAAAGACACACCAGGATTAAGATTGGAAGAAAAGGGACAGTAGTGTTATATGACTCCCTGAACACCAGGCTAGTAGTTGCATGTGTCCTGTGGAATAAAGGAATTGACCTCTCTGGCCACCGTTTTATTGCATGACATAAAAGCTCTCTTCTTCAGGTCCAAAACAAGGTCTATCCCTCCTCTGGTTGCACCCTGCTATTCTCAGTTGCCTCACCTCACTGCATACTCCCTTTAGGCTTGACTAAAACCCATCCATCCATGGAAGATGGAATTGTTAGGATCAGGTTTTCATCATGTTTGTTGTATAGGGCAGTGCACCATATAAATATTAAGGTATTAGATCAGCAAGTGAAGTCCCCTCTCCTGCTTGGTCCCATAATCTGCGCAGAGGCATGCTTGCTCCAAATGAGAGAAATACAGCTTCCGAAGTACCACTTCTGTGCAAAACATGAGACAAAGGAAAGGTATTGTTCCAGCCACACTCGAAGCTAATTCCAGGAAGCTGCAGTTCCAAGGCAAAAGGGTTTCACTGAATTCTAGCAATAACAGATGTCCATAAGTGAACTGCAGATAAGCTAGAAGCCTGCATAGCACTCTAGCACAAAATGCTTGGAACAGAAGAGACCTGGCGAGCTGGAGAACGCAGATTCCCTACTCCATCTGCTGTGCCCATGCAGGTCCTGGGCAGCGACTTGGACAAAGTGCACTGTTTCAAGGAGCTGAGCAGGGGAAGAGGGGAAAGGTCTCAGTGCTGCTCAGATCAAGGGCAGCCCATCTGATTAATTAGCACACAGACCAACGAGCAGAGCCTTTTATGCAACCTTACTTGGTAAGAATTGGGGAAAGTTTCTTCTAGATTTCTCCTCCTCCCCTCTGTTCAATTTCAACTCACAAGCTAAGCATTTCTTGAGTTCCTCATGACTGAAGTTCATCCTATGTGTTTTTAACACTCCCAGAGCACTGTTTCAACACCACTAACATGGTAAAAAAAAATCTGGACCTAAAAGCAGACTTGGAATCTGAAGCAGATTCACATCAGTCAGCTCACCTCCACTGCTATTCCAAAGATGGAGATGCCTGGCTCACTCTCTGTGCAAATACAAACCTCTTCCTTTCTTGAAGGAGGTGCTACCTCCTTCCTCTTGCTACCTACCTCACTTCTGGCTGAACTGTGTCTCGCACACTGATAGGAAACTACAAACCGCCTGTGATATCTCAAAATTCTTCTGTACATTCCTTCCACAAAGCTACTGCCATCGTCAGAGCACCAAATGGACCTGGCTCCATTTGGGATAGCTGATTCAGCAGTGCTACACTCCTCAGGGAACACATGCTCAGCAGCACCTTGTCTTTGAGTAACTGGCACCACAATCTTAACAAGTAACAAGAAGGAGCCCTGCCAAAGGTTACTGCACACAGATGGACAGACCTTAGTATTTCTGCAGATAAGTACCTACCAAATGGAAGGCGTTATTGCCAGCAACCAGCTCTCCAAGGTCTATGTAATCATGGACTAGGAGACAGTTCCCAGTTAATCCTATGAAAGCTATCACCCAAGCCACCAAATATTGCAAGGAAAGGGAGGATTCCTCTTTCTGCACTGGATGTCACCTCTAAAAAGTGAGGCTGAGGGACGATGGAGCTAGTTTATGAATAAAGGGGTTTTGACCCTCCAGTTTCAGCCCTTGCACGCTGGGTCCACAGCACAATTGTGACTGTGGAGATGCTCTGAAAGCTAACAGACCTTCCCTATGTTTCATGCAAAGTCCTTCCCTGTACTTATGCTTCTGGGAACTGGAGACAAGAGGCTGTCTTGCGTAGGTAGATGAAATGGTAATTTCTTTTTCTTTCCAGCAAAAGGCAAAGGATTCAAATCTAAGATTGTGTTCCTCGCATTACAGCTGCTTTTAGAAGCAGCTAAGTGATGAGTGTCCTGATAAGATAAAGGAGAACACCACCAGCTAGGGCTAAGAGAGGAAGAGGCTGCTTCCCACTATGGATTTCACAGCAGGGAAATTCACCCAAAGAAGTATTTTTCTGCTCTTAGAAAATAAGGTATAGAGAAAGAAGCCACAGAGAAGGACCTCTTTGCCTGGGTCACTGGCAGAGCACCCAGTCCCCCTCAGACACAGAGCCTACCCTAATATAAGAGAAGAGCCTGCCCTGCGGTGTGACCTTTCCAGGAAGATACATCAGTGTCGAGAGGATGGCGAGCTGCTGAAGCAAATGTCAGTGCACATGGATGCTGCGATTTTAATTAAGAACAACCCAAACTTTTGCACAAAACATCTTGTTTGTGCCCTGTGTATGGAGCTGCCTGGTAAAGCAGGAAGGAAGAAAGAGAAGGCAGAGCAGGTCTATTTCTGATCTCTCCATGTGGCATGAGCGGAGCATAACTAGGAACACTAACTCGGTTGTGCTGGATCCAAGGGTTTTCCATCCCATACGCAGGCTGATTTACACTTCTATAAATCACAGTGCTCCTCTGGAATTAAGACACTCCTTGCTGAGCCAATCTGTCACATGGAGTTTCTCGAGCAATGCTTGCTTAACTTCTTTGGACTGTCTAAGGAGACACGGGGCTTGGTCTTTCTCTGGATAGCCCAAGCTAGGAAATCGGAGGCAATGGAAGGTGCATGTCGTTAAGGATATGGAAATGTTCCTGGGCAGGTGAGTCCCTGCTGCTAATTCATGTTAGGGGGACTCCTACCTGCATGCTAAAGGAAGAGGAAGGAACAGGGATCAGACTGTATGAGGTACCCCCAAGTTGTAAACCACACGAGGGAAGGGAGGAAAAAAGGAAGTGAAGGACAGACACATTTGTACTCTTAATCATGAGGACTGGGGATTTGGGGCTTGGGTACCATCCTGGCTTGATGATCTCCTCTTTCAATCCTTGCAGGCAAGGAAGAAGCAAAGGTGGGCTGTGATTCTTTCTGGCTGGCCCTTGTTCCAAAGAGGGGCCCCTCTTTGGAAGCTGTGCCAACTGGAGCAGGGTGGATGTCCCTTGCACCATTTGGGGTCAGGGTGCGTGCCAAAACAGCCTCTTGCTGCAACACCGAGTTCTGGGCAAAGACACCTCTGGAAATTCAGACACTGTGGTGGTTTCCTCTGCTATTGAGAGCAGGCTGCTGGCTCCCTAGTGGGATGTGAAAAGGCAGAAGTGTTCACAGAATGCTAAATAGCAGGGGGGAGGGAATAATATAACTTTCCTCTCAGCCCTGCAGCAAGTTGCTCTGGCTACTGCAGCTTCCTTTGAGGGGCCCTGCCTCTCCATAGCTGCCAGCGGGCTGCAAAATGGGGGACTTTGTTTCAGACTGACAGTGATGCAGTGGCAAATCCCCAAACAAACAGAATTCGTTGAAGTCCATAGGCACTTATTCTTCAGAAGGAGAATGTTAAGACTTAAAGCCTTCCCTTGGCAGAGTGTCACCACAAGGCAGATTCTGGTGTGCTCACATCGCAGGCGGACGAATTGTACAAATGGTACGTTGGCTGGTGGTGGCTCCTTGCACAGGGAAGAGCTTCATCCTCGAAACACGTTGTGAGAAGAAGGGCAGGCTTGCCTGATCCTCACGCACAAAGGGTGGAAAAGAAAGAATGCTGATGACTGAACAAAACTGGGATTGCTGGGACAAACCTTCTCCTTATACCCTGTTTCCGTTCTGACTCAATTATTGATGGCAGCAATGTACGTTCACAGTAGAAAGCCTGCTGGCAGCTGTCAGGATTGCAGATGAGTATCAACAAAAGCAAGGGGGTTTTAGTGCTGAGAGAGGGAGTTTTCTTTCATGTTGGCTAGATTAGAAAATCACCCCAGGTCTCTCCCTGTTCTTCCCCTCTTCCCTTTCCAGTACATAAAATCCCTGACGGTAGATCTTTAGGCACACCCGTCTTAACCCTAGCTCCAGTTCTCCTTCTTGAAAGCGAGTTGCACAGCATCATTCACATCCTGCACTATGTAAGAGGCTTCCACCAGAGTGGGGTCAAAGCAGAAGTCCCGATGGCCATGGAAGACCGTCTCTGTTGTGCATTCCTCTGTGTTACTGGGAACATCTCCATTGTGGCGGTAGACCCCAGTGCAGACCAGAATCGACTTGCAACTCTCCACTGAATTGTTGCAGTCCTTCCTCAGCTCAAGGTGATCCTCAGTTTGGGGACTGGCTGCATGCAGGTTCCTCTTCACCCCAGCCTGGACCTGGTTCTGTTGAGCTGACTTGAGGTAGTTGTTGTAGAGGTTTGCCCCATAGATATCGGACATAGGGTTATCCCTGGATAAGGTCACAGTGTGAAACAGAAATGAGAAACTAGCCCATGCATCGATTTCTGGCTCTGGCAGACTGGGATTAAGGCGGCAGGAGGGAGGAAGGGGCAGAGGGTATCCGTAACATCAAGAGAACCACCCAGACTGGACTAGTGAGTCCGCCTACTGGTGTGTCCTGTTCACCTGTGGTGAAGGCCACATGCTTCACAAACATCTTTCAAAGGGGAAAAGACCCATCCAAAGCACCCATAGCAGTTTCAGCCATTACTGTAACATGTACCCTACGATCCCAAAGTGTTTGGCCTAACCAGGCTAATGGTACTACATCTGGGTCTCTTAACTTTCTCTTTAGTCCAGTCATGCTACACGTACCCTGCATCCCACAGTAACAGCTCTGCTAGGCTGACGGTGCCCTTCAAATTATTAAAAGCATAGGGTGCAAAAAGCTAGCAAGCCTCTGTTCTAGGATGTGAGGCTCCAGAGACACCATGGGGATTTTGGTATTCATTTTAGAAATCTCCATTGAAAAAAACCAAAACACTTAAGAGAAGTCAGTATGCAACTTTCTAAGGAAACCAGCAGGAAAAACAGTCTCTTACCCAACTGCATAGAGGCGTCGGATGGGAGACTTCCAGCCCTGCTTCTCTGCCTGCTCTTTTATCAAGTATTCAGCATAGCGGTAGGTGACTGTGCTGGGTTTGCCAATCAAGGCCTCGTACTTCAGCTCCCGGCCTGTCACCTTCTTGTAGATGTTCTCCAAGCAGAGGAGGAAAGTGCCATGGCCAAACCTGCTCCAGAAAGGAGGTCATCAGTGTCTCCAGTCACACCACTTAAGTAGCAAATACTCCTCAGTGAGGAGGACCATCTGCTGTAGCCAGGGTACTGCCTAGTTTGGACACGGTATCTACCCACACACGCCTCCACAGGCAGTGGTCTGGCTTTTGCTTCTTGAAAGTTTTAGTCTTTGTTTCTCATGCAGTTTTCATGTCTCTGCTGCTAATTAAGCCATACAGGCAGAGTCTAATGCTAAAAAATGCAGTATGTAAGAAAAGATCATCTGCAGGAGAGCTGTATGATATAGGCTAAAACAAATACCACACATGCTTTTCACCTGGGCATCTTGGCTTCGGCCATCCACAGGAGATCCATGTTGCAGGCGAGGACAGGCAGATGGGGGTATGGTATATCTTGCAGCTCTGCCCCCGGGTTCCCGTTGCTCAAGAGTACGTCAATAATAAGTTGCAGGCTTGTCTCCCACCTCACTGGCTCACCAAACAGAATCACCCCTGGAAGATTTCAAGAGATGCCTGGAAACTCACAGCTTCCAAGTACAGGACCCACTAGCAAAAGCCACCCACTGCTGGGATGCCATGTCCGAACACAGCTTGCGCCAGGGCTCCAGTCTGCATATTGTGGTACCATGTGCACCACTGCTTCCAGATGTTGGAGCATGGCACAGAGAAAAGTCAGCTTTGCTCTTAGCGACTTGTGCTTCATGATGCACGAGGGCAGCGAGGCTGCCTCCTGACTGTATCCTCTGAATAAGCTGCCTGTGAATACCGATGAGCCGACAGCACATCATTAGCTCCCGTCCCAGCTGGCTTGCCTGACTGTTATTTCTGCATGCTGTTCATATGTAAACAAAGGCTCTTGCTTACCTTCTATAGTGGGGAAGCCAGTGGTTGGAGGAGGCTGCCAGAAAAAAAAAAAAAATGAAGGGTGGGTTAGTAATGTAAAACCTAATGCCATTTCCAAACTGAAACTGTTTCCTTTGAACCTGCCAAGGCAGTCCCATAAAGAGGCAGGACAAGGCCACCTGGAATCCTGAAGAAAGATTTCCCCCACCCCACCCCCATCCCAGATTGGATTTCACAGATCTTGCATTCCTGTCTCAGAGCTAGAGATGCCAACCAAACCATCTTACCACTTGCTGCAAGGAATAGCAACGGAAGACAGGCATGGCATGAGAAAAGAGAGGGCAAAGTCACTGCCCTTCCAGCAGGAGCCAACTCTGGGAAGAGCAGAGATGCTTGGATGCTCAGTACCAGTCCCAGGCTCTCGCTAAAGAAAGTCACTAGCAGCCAGCTGCTCTGTGCCTCTGCAGCTTCTCCACCCCACGCTATACACTGTAAGCACCACCACACCAGACCACCCGTTCTACTGATGCATCGGGAAATTACCAGCTCCTTTGGCCTCCGGCTCTGATCCACCATGTCTAACAGGGGATACGCCTTCCTCAGTGCCTCGATGGTGACCACATGCTTGAACCCCAGGCTATTTCAGACCATCAAGGAAAGTTGTGGAGACTGTTTTTTTTTAAGTGACTGGGTTTTTAAGTTACTTGCAAAAGCATCTACAGCATTAAGGAATACAAGTCCTAGTAGCAGAGCAGTTATTTAACCTGGTCATGCCTCAAGGCTTTCAGTCCAACTGCATGCTGCGCTTCAACCTCAAGGTGGCCCTTGAAGGTTACAAAAAAACCCCAAAAACCAGACCGGGGTGATTTAGTTTGTGATCAGCAATCCCTGGAATTAGGCAAAGAGCAGAGGTTGCTCCAAGACAACCTTGTGCTTCGGGAGACCTTTAACACCAGGGTTCTCATATTGGTGCAGCGCAGGGGGCTGGTCAGAATTCTTGGCTGGAAGCAGAATCAGTGAAGCTCCGGTCAGCTTAGCTAGAGAAAAGAAAATGGTCTGTGCTCATAATGCAAGTGATGGATGAGTTGCGTTTGCTTTCAGAACACCTTGCCCTTAGCTCACCCTACTGGCCTTGGGGAAAGAGAGACAGGACAAGGTTTTGTACCCAATGAAGTCAAATGTTAAGCACAAGGCGTGACCTGTCTGTGTGTACAGGCTGAGATGTCACAAACCCTGCAGGCAGTTCTTACCTCCTTGCAGACACAGGGTATGTCAGACCTGCTGTGCCCTCACCTCAGCCAGGCAATATACATGTGGGATTGCCATTTAGACCATGTCCCTGTACTGGGACGCTCTGGTTCTAATGATATTTGAGTTCCTTCAATTGCTGTCAGTTCCCTGGGGAAAACCTTAGCTGTGGGAGAGTTGGGAGCGGTCTCCAATGCACTTTACATTAGAAAGAATAGGAAAGAGCATAATTTTATCTCTAAAGTAAGAGAGGCCCAAAGCTGATGGAGTCCTCATGGTAACATCCAACCAGTAGGAACAGCAATGCAGCTCTCAGGAGAGGTAATCAGCGTGAGAAGCCAAACACAGACCATGGACGGCCAGGAGGGTGACCAAGACGGAGATCAACAGCAAGTGCCTGCATTTGAGCCTCTCCATGAGGAAGCCTCCCCATGGGATGAAACCAACGGCCTTTTTCTCTTTCCTTGCACTTCTGCAAGCTGACCGGGCAAGCGCCAGGGTAGGGGCAGGGCAGGAGCAGCAGCATTTAGCTGGGAAGCAGTTGCGGGACGCGCAGAGCACCAGGAGGCACGCGCAGCAAAGGATACTTCTGGGCGTTCTCCTCCACGGGCCCCTGCCCGGCCACCAGCATGCACTTCTGGTGGAACTGGCTGAAGAGGCGCAGGGGGCTGTGGGACAGGATCACCTGCTCCGGAGACACCTGCGGGAGGGAGGAGAAGCTGCCGGGGAGGGTGGGATCCGCGGGGAAGATTTCCCCCCTTCTCCCTGCGTTCTGGTGGCACCACCTGCCTCCCTCCATCCCCTCAGGCCGAGGCAGGACCCTCCCGGGGAAGTCGCGTTGGGTGGCCTTCCCCCCCTTCCCTCCTCCTCCTCCTCTTCCTCCTCCCGGTGCCCCCCTCCAAAGCCGGGACGCCCGAACGGGGGGCCGGGCCTGCGCCCTTCCCTCCAGCCCCAGCGCCTGGGAGAGCTCTCGGGCCTTGGCCGACCGCAGGCAGTTGCCGGCGTTAGTCAGGAAGACG